TTATACTGGTTTGGTATTGGGGGTGCCCTAGGAGGGGATTGGGGGGCACTGGAAGGCACTGGGAGGCACTGGGAGGAAACTGGGAGGCACTGGGAGCTACTGGGAGGCTCCAGAACGGGGATAAACCAAGACATTATTTCCCTACTGGTTCATACTGGTTTATACTGGTTTATACTGGTTTATACTGGTTTGGCACTGGGAGGGCACTGGGAGGGGATTGGGGGGCACTGGGGGGCACTGGGAGGCACTGGGAGCTACTGGGAGGCTCCAGAGTGGGGATAAACCAAGACATACTTTCCCTTCTGGTCCCTACTGGTCCCTACTGGTCCCTACTGGTTTATACTGGTTTATACTGGTTTATACTGGTTTTCCCAGGAACTTCCACGTGTGGAACGACTGCTGGATGAAGCGGCCGGACCTGCCCGACGGCTACGACGGGTGGCAGGTGGTGGACGCCACCCCCCAGGAGACCAGCAGCGGTAACTTACTGGTTTATACTGGTTTATACTGGTTTATACTGGTTTGGGCTGGTTTGGGCTGGTTTGGACTGGTTTATACTGGTTTATACTGGGAGGGGACCCCTGGGAGTCACCACGGGGGTCCAGCAGGTTGTGAGGGCCCCACACTGGTCCTTACTGGTTTATACTGATTTGTGCTGGTTTATGCTGGTTTGAGCTGGTTTGGGCTGGTTTCTACTGGTCCATACTGGTCTATACTGGGAGGGGACCCTGGGGAGTCACCACAGGGGCCCAGCAGGTTGCAATGACCCCACACTGGCCCACAGTGGTCTATACCAGTTTGTACTGGTCCATACTGGTTTCTACTGGTCCATACTGGTCCATACTGATCTTTACTGGTTTCTACTGGTCCATACTGGTCTATACTGGGAGGGGGACCCTGGGGAGCCACCACAGAGGCCCAGCAGGCTGCGATGACCCCACACTGGCCCACAGTGGTCTATACCAGTTTGTACTGGTCCTTACTGGTTTCTACTGGTCCATACTGGTTTCTACTGGTTTCTACTGGTCCCCCGCAGGCCTGTTCTGCTGCGGGCCGTGCTCGGTGACGGCGGTGAAGAACGGCGAGGTCTTCCTCAAGTACGACACGCCCTTCGTCTTCGCCGAGGTGGGCGTGGCTCGGAGGGGAGCGGGCGTGGCTAATGAGATGCAAATTTATGCTAACGAGGTGGGCGTGGCCGCAGGTGAACAGCGACAAGGTGTACTGGCAGCGGCAGCCGAGCGGGGCCTTCGCGGTGGTGCACGTGGAGGAGGGGGCCATCGGGCGCCGCATCAGCACGTTGGGCGCCGGCTCCGCCGCCCGCCTCGACGTCACCCACCAGTACAAGCACCCCGAGGGTGAGGTCATCGACCCCATTGACCCTTGACCCTGCCATTGACCCCTTGACCCGGTCATTGACCCCTTGACCTGGCCATTGACCCAACCATTGACCAAGCTGTTGACCCAACCATTGACTTCTTGACTCAACCATTGACCCAACCATTGACCCAACCATTGACCCAACCATTGACCCAACCATTGACTTCTTGACTCAACCATTGACCTGATCATTGACCCAACTATTGACTTTTTGACTCAACCATTGACCCATCCATTGACCCATTGACCCAGTCATTGACCCATTGACCCGGTCATTGACCCATTGACCTGGCCATTGACCCATTGACCCAGCCATTGACCAATGACCCCTTGACTTGGCCATTGACCCATTGACCCAGCCATTGACCCATTGACCTGGCCATTGACCCATTGACTCAGCCATTGACCCGATCATTGACCCAACTATTGACTTCTTGACTCAACCATTGACCTGGTCATTGACCCATTGACCCGGCCATCGACCCATTGACCCAGCCATTGACCCATTGACCCGGCCATTGACCCGATCATTGACCCAACTATTGACTTCTTGACTCAACCATTGACCTGGTCATTGACCCATTGACCCGGCCATCGACCCATTGACTCGGCCATTGACCCAACCATTGACCAAACTGTTGACCCAACTATTGACTTCTTGGCCAACCATTGACTCAACCATTGACCCAATCATTGACCCAACCATTGACCTCTTGACTTGGCCATCGACCCATTGACCCAATCATTGACCCAATCATTGACTCACACATTGACCCATTGACCCGGCCATCGACTCATTGACCCAATCATTGACCCAACCATTGACCCAATCATTGACCCCTTGACTTGGCCATTGACCCATTGACCCAGCCATTGACCCATTGACCAATGACCCCTTGACTTGACCATTGACCCATTGACCTGGACATTGACCCATTGACCTGGACATTGACCCATTGACCCAGCCATTGACCCATTGACTCGGCCATTGACCCAACCATTGACCAAACCGTTGACCCAACCATTGACTTCTTGGCCAACCATTGACCCAACCATTGACTCAAACATTGACCCCTTGACTTGGCCATCGACCCATTGACCCAATCATTGACCCAATCATTGACTCAAACATTGACCCATTGACCCGACCATTGACTCATCGACCCGGCCATTGACCCAATCATTGACCCATTAACCCGACCATTGACCCATTGACCCAGCCATTGACTCATTGACCAATGACCCCTTGACTTGGCCATTGACCCATTGACCTGACCATTGACCCATTGACCCAGCCATTGACCCACTGACCCATTGACCCGGCCATTGACC